TCCTTACAGTCTGAAGCTGGAAGTTCAAGACCAAGGCATGGGCAGAAGTTGGCCTCTGTGGGGCCTCCCTCCCCGGCTAGCAGACGCCACCTGCTTGCTGGGCACACTCAGTGCTGGTGACTCTCACGCCTGTCAATTCTCTTCACACAAGGACACCAGACAGACAGGTGGGAGAGGACCCCAGAAACAATCTTACATTAACACAAGCTCCTCTTTGACACATCTCACCCCAAGACAGTCACGGGCTGAGGGACATTTGAGTTTGGAGGGACACCACCCATCTAGTCATACCTTCTTGGGAGTCTTGGTGGGACAGAGACTAATTTTTACAACATAACTGAAGATGTCTACCTCCTTTCCACAGCCCAGCTCGCCGTGGAGGCCAAGCGAGGCTCTGTCAGTGGGTGGCTGAGGACCAGACTTGGGGGCTTGGAGCTCAGGAGCCAGGCATGGGGGCAGCGGGGCTCTCTCTCTCTCCCTCTCCCTCTCCCTCACCCCCCTTTCTCCTCTTTCTCTCTCTCTCCCCCTCCCAGCCACCCTGTGTGCTGATAGCAGTATGGGTTATGGCTGTGGCCCGGACCCCAGGTGGGAATGTGGCATTGGCGCATGCGCTGTTCTCTGGATGGAGGCTTGGCTCCTGGCAGCCCAGCTTCAGCTCCCCCCCCCAGGAGTCTGTCGGCTTCCCCAGATACTTTCTAGTAAGTTCCTCTTCTGCTCACAGAAGCCAGAGCCAGTTCGTGTTGCTTGTGCTGGACAATCCTTGCACAGGCCTGGATGTCCACAGTTCCTTGTCGCTGCTCTCCATCTGCCCGGAAGGAAAGTACAGAAGAGAATGGTGGCAACTGCGAGTGCCATTCCCGCACAAGAACCACCACAACAAAGACTCAGGCCCTGGCTGCTAGTTCAATCGCATGAGAAACGTGCACCTCTCAAAGCCCCGTCCCGAGGACAGGGCTGGCGGGGCAGCGGGGCTGTGAGCGCCCTTCCTCCCTCATGCCTCCTCCTGCCAGCCAGGGAAGAGCCCAAGTGTCAGGGGAGTCCAGTCAGGTGACCTGCAGGATCACTGCAGGTGAGATGAATGACACCCAGAGCCCAGAGCCCAGCAGCGGGCAGTACCTGTCCTTCGGAGTCAGAATCATGATGACTGTTAGGGGAGACACCAGGAGATCATTTCTGGCAGAGCTAGTGCCAGGCTTTGGGGCTGGGGAAGGATGCCAGGCCCAGGGCCTCTTCTTGCGAGGGAGAGGGTGGGGGCAGCTCACTCTGGGAGAGATGGCAGCGGAGCGGAGCCGGGCCCATGCAGCTGGAGATGGGTGAGGGTGGAGGGCTTCTGTGCAGAGCAGCCGAAGAGGCCCAGGGCTGGGCGGGGCTGAGGCAGCGGAGGGGAAAGGGAGAAAGGCTTTTCTAGAAAGGGGTTGTTAATTCTTCCACGTGCCTCTTGAGGTGCCTGACACGGTGGGCAGAGCAGGGAGAGTAGTTAAGAAAATGTTGGTGGGCCAGGCACCCGTGGCTCACACCTGTCATCCTAGCTATTCAGGAGGCTGAGACTTGAGGATCACGGTTCAAAGCCAGCCCGGACACAAAAGTCCAGGAGAGGGGCTGGGAAGGTGGCTCAGTGGTAGAGCGCTTGCCTTGCATGTATGAGGCCCTGGGTTCGATTCCTCAGCACCACATAAGCAAAAAAAAAAAAGCCGGAAATGGGGCTGAAGCTCAAGTGGTAGAGCACTAGCCTTGAGCTGAAGAGCTGAGGGACAGCGCCCAGACCCAGAGTTCAGGCCCCATGACCGACAAAAAAAAAAATCCAGGAGACTCTTATCTCCAATTAATCATCAAAAAGCTGAAAATGGAGCTGTGGTTCAAATGTTAGAGAACTAGGAAGAAGGAGGAGGAGGAAGAGGAGAAGGAAGAGGAGGAGGAGGAAGAGGAGGAGGGAGGAAAAGGAAGAAAAAGAGGAGGAGGGAGGAGGAGGAAGAGGAGGAGGGAGGAGGAGGGAGGAGGAGGAGGAACATGATTGCAGAACTGAGTGTGAGAAGGGGACTCTTCTAGTCCCTCTACTCTGAAAGGCAGCAGTTCATCATGACCTGGCTCTTGTCACAAGGTACCAAGGGCGGCACTACACGGAAGGAGCACATGTAGCCATTAAACTCAACAAGGGATACTGGCAAACCTGGAAAGCATCTGGGAGTCTACATTAAAGCTATGAAATAGATGTCCTGGGAACAACTCCCAGAGGAGGGCGGGAATGGATGGATGGGGTATTTGCATCTGGCCAGACTTTGGGGTGTCTCTGTCCCTTAGCTCTTCATTTTGACACGTGTCCCAGGATGCTGTGGAGACTGAACGAGGCACATATGAGAAGTTTCTAGCAGCTTTGTAACTTTTCCCTCACTCTTAAAATTGCCCCAGAGAAGTTTCCTTAAAAGGAAAAGGTGGAAAGGCAGACTGGGGACCCACCATGAGAACAAGGCCACTTCAGATCATAGTGTTGGGTGTCAGCTCAGCTGGGACGGGCTGAGAACCCGAGCCCCAGGAGCAGAAGCCAGGAACAGAAGGCACAGCCCAGTAAGGACCTGCGGAGACACCACTCAGAAGCTGCCCAGTTCTGCACCAGTCTTCAGAAGCATTTTGCCTAGGAGTCCCTGCCAGTGAGCCAAAGCTCACTTCCCTAAATGTGCAATGCAATCAGTACGGTAATTAGTGGCCCAGCACTTGGAAGAACAGTTTACTTTTAAATGCAGACACATCCGGTGACGGGAGGGGGAACTAAGTATGGGCGGCAGAGAATTTGTTACTCTGGTAAAATAGAAGATCTAGGTGAAGAATCAATAGACCTTGTGTTAATTTGCCTCCAGGATATTGGCTTTCAAACCAAAACACATCTCTTTGCCAAGATTGAGGACAATTTGCCTGGATTGGGGCGCCATCTAGTGGACACTCTCACACCTCAGCCACTAGCAGAGCAGAGCAGAACAGATCTCAAGCACAAGATGGCCAGGCAGACTCCAGGTTCTACCTGGCAGGTGCTTGGCAGGGAGGGAGACGGGACCTATTGTGCTTTTCATCATTTCAAAGATGCAGGTGTATATTACCACTGGGTTTTCCTTCCTTGGAACTTTGAATTAGAGCTCTAATGCTTGAGATTTGTTTCCTCATGTTTTTCTTTCCTTCTTCACTGTTTACCAGAGAGGACCAGGTGTGTGTGTGTGTGTGTGTGTGTGTGTGTGTGTGTGTGTGTACACTGCAGTATAATCACAAGGACACTATCATCAGAGTAGTTGGTACAATCTGGAGCACCCAAAGGCAGCTCACCCAGGACAGCAGCTGCCACATGTAGCGTGGTGGCTGGGCTGTGGGTAGCTGCTCTGCTTTCGCAGTCTTGGCCTCACATAGGCCTGGTGTGAACATCCTAGCAGCTCACTTGTCCTCTAGAGTGTCTGGTTCAGTGTCCAGGATTGTGTTCACAGAAGACAGGGGTCCAAGGCTACAGGGTACCCCATTCTCTTAGCAGGACGCACACTCACAACACCCCAGGAGTCAGTCATGGTGGGGGGGAAGAGTACCTGTTTACCCACATTTTCCAGCATTCCACATTTTCCAGTAAACTCTGAAATTCTTAAGAAGTGGGAGAGCACTTTTGTTTTTAGCTTCTTAAGAGAACAAGTAACATTTCTTAATTGGAAAAAAAAATCCCTTTGTCTTCCAGAAATCCAGGTCTTACATACTCAAAGGAGTATATTTGAAGAGGGACAATGATTCTTTTTATTTTGTCTCATTTGGGGCAGTACTGAGCTTTGAATTCAGGTCCTCATACTTGCTAAACAAGCACTCTACCACTGTGCCGCTAGCTGTACCTTCTGCTGGTTGTTTTTTAGACAGGGTCTTACTTCCTTCCCAGGTACCTGCCTGGACCTCAATCCACCTATTTTAGATTTCCTGTAATTGCTAGGATGGCAGGCACCTGCTACTGCACCCAACTTCCCTTCATTGAGATGGATCTCATGAGTTTTCTGCCCAGGCTAGACCAGAACCATGTCCCTTTCATCCTCAGCCTCACAAGTTACTAGGATGATAAACATGCGCCACTGGCTTCTGACTCTTAGTTGGGGGAGGGGCTACTTATAGACTCTCCTAAGTGGGAAAAAGGAAATGCATTCTTCTCTGTAGGAAATATGTACAACATTTGTATTCACTGCCTCCATAAAAGGGATTTAAAGCTCCCACACTAGAGAAATGAAGTGGGAAATGCTGTGGTTTGTAGGCTTTTCATTATCCAGAATTTCTTTTCAATTTAGTTTTATCCACTAAATCAC